AAAAAAAAAGACCAGAACTTCGTGAGGAAAAAGGACACTGGGTCAAGAATGAAAACCCAGAAGCACAGCCATGGACCCCTGGCATCCATTTAATCTCTTAATACAGCTCTCTCTCCTTTATGGTCTTGATAGCCCTTCTTTATTAGCATCATTGATTTCACCCAATGATATACAGTCAAAATACCTTCTGAGGGCCCTGTTGAGAAAGCTGGGTGGTGACAGGGGTATGCACATGCCAGAGTTTTCAGAGGCATTTTACATCCCTGGGCTGATTTCTGGTAGCTTGTCCTATATATAGTAGATATATAGTAGGTAGACCGAGCATGGGCCCCCTGAGCCCAGCTCCTAAATGAAATGAAGAAGCTCCCTTCCTCCCTCCCTCCGCACAAGTGCAGGGTTGCCTGGGAGAGGAGATGTCCATCCTAACCTCCAGCTGTACCCCACAGCAAGCAAACTTCCAGATCTACTCAGAGTATTGCAACAACCACCCCAATGCTTGCGTCGAGCTCTCCCGGCTCACCAAGCTCAGCAAATACGTGTACTTCTTTGAGGCCTGCCGGCTGCTGCAAAAGATGATCGACATCTCCCTGGATCCTGGTGACTTTTTTCCAGTGCAGAAGATCTGCAAGTACCCTCTGCAGCTGGCTGAGCTGCTCAAGTATACACATCCCCAACACAGGTAGGAGGCTGTGAGGGAGGGACAGCAACCTGAGGCTCCTCGCACCTCGGGTCAGCTAGTTTGTTGAGTACCCCTAGTGTGCTAGGCACTGCTATAGGCACCGGGGTGACAGCACAGAGTAAAACCATCCCTTCTCTTGAGAGTTATCATTGCGGTGAGGGAAGAGGGCATAAATAGGATATTATGTTCTGCTCTGACATTTATGGAAGAGATGGGGGTACACACTGACAGGTGAAGAAAATGACAGTCCAAGGGGCACAGCCCCGGAGGGAAGCAGCTCCACAAGGGGCTCCAGAAGGCTGCCATACCTTCTCTACTCTCCACCTCAAAGCCCTCTTCTTTGTTCTGTCTCAGGGATTTCAAGGATGTGGAAGCTGCCTTATATGCCATGAAGAATGTGGCCCAGCTCATCAATGAACGGAAACGGAGACTTGAAAACATCGACAAGATTGCTCAGTGGCAGAGCTCCATAGAGGACTGGGAGGTGACTGTCTGACATCCCCAGAAAATACCTTGGGGCTTAGCTGCTTGCTTTAAAAGCATACTTGCCCCCTGAAAAATCTAGGTGGGATCTGGGGCAGAGAGCCATGCTCCTAGAGCTAGCAAACAGGAGCTGGTGACCCACGTGAGTACTGAGCCCCAAGCACTTAGTGCTGTCTCTCAGAGCAGACCTAGTGGCCTCTTCTCAGTGAAAAGTGCGGAGGGGAGGGAGGAGCTGACTTGTGTTACAGAGCCACAAGAGGAAAGTAAGATGCTGCTCCCAAAGAGAAACTAGCCTGCCCAGCAAGAGTGGCTGTTCCTCTGCTGTCAGGGAATAGTCCAGAGCCCCAAGTTTTAGTTAACTACTGGGATGCCCAACAGAAGGGTTCAGGCCTGCCCCAGCACCACCTGAAAATGGATCACCACCAGTCAGAGCCCTTGGTTCCATTTACCTGGCTTGCACACTCCCCTTGTATCCCCCAACCTGCCTTCTAAGGCAGCATGGAGGCCTGAACTAATGGTGATGTTCATGTTCTCCAGAGGAATGCCTGTGCTGTTCTCTCTACCCCAACGCACCAGCTACAAAATATTATGAAAATAGATTCCTGGCCCTCACTCTAGAAATACAGAATTAGAATACCTGTGGGTTTTTATTCTTTGTCTTCCTAGAAGTTGGTTCTGGGGCCCAGCCCTGGCTACAAACTCATTTATCCCCAATTGAATGGCTGCCAACTCCTGGCTGTGGTTTGCATTTTCCAGGAGGAAGCCAAAGAGGGCAGGGCTTAGTTTGAAAGTTTGAAGTATGATGATGGGTCTTCAGGTACTAAAGAAGGTACTAAAAGAAGCCCCTATAAGACCGGCCTCAGAGGTGACCTCCAGCAACATCTAATTCTCTAGGGCAGCACCATCCATTCAAAGTATCATGTGAGCCACATGGGGAATTTTACATGTTCTAGTAGCCATCTTAAAAAAGAAAAAAAAAAAAAACAGGTGAAACTAATGTGTTATTTAACTCATATCCAAAATGTCATTTCAACATGTAATCAACATATCATTAGTAAAATATTTCACATACTACAGCTTCAAAATCGATATGCATTTTATGTACATGACATCTCAATAGGGATTAGCCATATTGGGCCCCATTTTGCAAAGACAACCAACTGATGGGTCAAACCACCTTTTTATTCCCAAGCCCTCACTGCCCCACCACTTCCTTCAACTTCAAGAGCGACCCTTCCTTTTATGGCCTGCTGCTTGCTGCAAACTCTGGCAGAGTGGGCACCACAGGCAGCCAGAGCCAGTGGCAAGCAATGATAGATGCAGGGTTTAGAGCCCAGCTGAGGGGACTTCCTCTTAGCTCCAGGGTTGGGGCATTTAGCTCATTGCTCTCCTTGGGGTAACCCAGGGGGAAGACCTCCTTGTCAGGAGCTCGGAACTCATCTACTCGGGGGAGCTGACTCGTGTTACCCAGCCACAAGCCAGGAGCCAGCAGAGGATGTTTTTTCTCTTTGACCACCAGCTTATCTACTGTAAGAAGGTATCAGAGTTGTTCTTCCTTGCTGGACAGCCTGTTTAGAGCAGGACTGGAGAGTGAAACTGGGGTCTGGGAGCAGCTGCCCAGAGAAAAAGTGCCACACACAGGCAGTTCCTTCCCAGGAGCCCTGAGTACAGCAGGCCCTTCCCTGGTTAGGCCCTTAGGGCCAGGATGAGGGTGGCTTTCTGCAGAGTGAGCCTGGTAGCCCAGGGCCTAGTGCTGTTGAAAACACCCTCCTTCCTGACCCAGCCCACCTAACTTCTCAAGCTACTTCTCTCCCTATTAATTTCAGCTTCCCCTCCCCACTCCAGGAGTCCTCTGCTCCAGCAGCTTCCCTGTGCTCTCTGTGCCGCTAGTTTCTACTCTTTCAAAACATGGCCCAACTGGCCCTATCCATAAGCCCTCTTAACATGACTGCTGGCTCTGGGCCTGACCCTCATATACATGGTGCACCCCTCTGCTGTGCAGTATGGGCCCTGGCCCATTGTCTGTTTCCATGGCTGACTCAACGAAACTACAGGTGGCTTAAAGACCCCCAGGCCAGCCAGTAACTTAACTGAAAGAGTGAAGCTCTTCATCATAGGTTTTTGGCACAGTCGGGGTCCGTACCAGGCTCACTCTGCCTTCATGAGGTCATCATCTACTGGGGAGATGGACGTATGGCTCACCAGCCCAGTAAGTGAGGCAGGGCCTTGGACATGGTCAAGAAAACAGTTCAGGCTGGGGAGGGACCTTATAAGCAGGCTGGGCCAACAGCTCACAGCATCTCTGGCAGGACCTTCTGCGCCGTGATGTGCTGTACTATAAGGGCCGAGTGGACATGGATGGCCTAGAGGTGGTGGATCTAGAGGATGGAAAGGACAGAGACCTCCACATGAGCATCAAGAATGCCTTCCGGCTGTATGGTGGCACAACAGGAGAGAGTCACCTGCTGTGTGCCAGGAAGACTGAGCAGAAGCAGCGCTGGCTCAAGGCCTTTGCCAAGGAGAGGGAGCAGGTGCGGCTGGACCAGGAAACAGGTGAGACCCCACTCAGCTTTGCTCCACTCAGGGCCCACCAGACGTCCTCACCCCTGAATGCAAGATCAGGACAACCAGAGGCTGAGACAGCCTGTCCCATAGCCCAAAGCCTTAGGGTTTGGTGAGCCTCCAGGGCACCTTTTGGTTTCAGCCTCAGGGCATGGGTCTACTGGCCTGGTAGAGGGTTTGCTTCCACCACATGCACATACATATGCATACCCTAAAGGGTGGGGCCTTCAGTTCAGTTGCAGGGACCTGGGAGAGCATCTTTCTAGCACAAGAACAGTGAAATGAGAAGTGGGACTGGCCTCCAGAAGTCTGTCCCACCCTCCATGAGGTTATCTCCTCACTGATTCCTCTCCTGTCCATGTGCCTGATCCTCACACTCAGCAATGACCAAGTTGGCTCTTGGCCTGGGAAAATATCTCCATCACAGTGGAGAGAAAGGATACTAGGCACTGGACACGTCAGGGATCAAATGAGAGATGGGGTAGAGCAAGAGAGGATGTGGGGAGGGCCCCGAGAGGGGCACCAGAGTACCGCCTCTACCCGGCTGGCCAAGGCCAGCTGGCTAAGCAGGACTTAAGTCCCTGCAGCGTGATGGGCCCTGAGCACCGTGGGAAGTACAGGGTACACAGTGGACTGCATCAGTGCCAAGAAGCAGAAGGCAAGAGGACCATGGGCAGGGGACAACTGGGAAGTGTAAGAGCAGCCAAGTCTTCACAGGGAAGTGTGCCCCTCCCTCCCAGGCTTCTCCATTACCGAGCTGCAGAGGAAGCAGGCCATGCTGAATGCCAGCAAGCAGCAGGTGGCTAGGAAGCCAAAAGGTAAGCAGGTGGTAGTCCCACCTCCACTCCCAGCAGCCCAGCCCTAGCGATGATCAAACCCCTCTCAGACCCCCAAAACAAACCAGCTAGCACCTGGGTTCTCAGTTACCCATTGCCCTTTGCAGGTTTTTTCCCAAAGGTTAGTGATAAAGGGCCACCAGTGACAAAACCTGTGGCATTATGCAGTTGAGATTCTTGCTGTTGATCCCCCTCAGACCCCCCAGAACAGCACCATTAGTGACACTGCTCACTTCCCCAGGCAAGTCTGCTTTCTGGCAGACATCTTCATAATCACCCGGCAAGGAGCTCACATCTCCATTCTAGAGAGACATGGTCAATGCCTTGCACAGTCTGTGCTATAGGGAAACTCAGGGCCCCATATATCTTTCTGGCCCCCTTGCCATCCTCTGCAGGCCCCAAGAGAACAGCCCCACAGGAAGCAAGTTCCTTACAATAGGTGCCTTGGGACAGGCCCTATTCCACCCCTCAACAGTGGAGGATGCCAGTCTGCCCTGTGCCACCGCCATCTATATAACCCTTGCTGTTTTTTCTTATTTAGCCTTCAGCCGACCCTACTATCTGACACGCCAGAAGCACCCAGCACTGACTGCCAGCCTGCCCCAGCAACAGGTCTTGGTGCTGGCAGAGCCCAAGCGGAAGCCATCCACCTTTTGGCACAGCATTAGCCGGCTGGCGCCCTTCCGCAAGTAAGCCCATGCCTCACCCAACTGCACTGTCTGGATCTGCCCTGCCAGTGAGCCTCCAGCTTTTCCTCCCCAAGGCATCCAACCCTCTCTGCCTGTTCAGTAAACTGAAAGTGAGCAGGGCTGAGCAAGGGAATGGCTCTGCCACTAGTATGTACCAGCTCTGCATCCCTGTTCTCAGTTCTTCCTCACCATTGATACACTGTAGATACCAAATGGAGGGAGATAACCACAGCACAGGAACCTCCCGCCACCATCCGGACCTTTGTGTGGCCTCCTAGGAGCCACAGCTCAGAACCACCAGCCAGGCAAAGATGTGACTGGCCACTTCAGACCCGCTTCTTTGAACAGCATCCCTCCTGTCCTCTGGGCAGGAGGCCATCTGCCTTCCACCACTTGGAAAGCTGGGCTGTGTGCCCCTCTGTTCTCTAATTCTCCTTCAGGCCCCCACCTGGTGGTGCCAGAC